TAATGGATGAAAATTGTATGAATTTTCTACTTTTATCTCCTGTGATTATAAAATAAATAATAATAATTTATCTCCATTTGCAACCTCAATTAATTTTTAAAATTATTATTTATTAAGGTCAATTTAAATATGTGTGCAGTAGTTTTATGGTGAATTTCGAGAATTGAGGTGATTGATTAATAACTATCTAAAAAATAAACACTCCTAACCGTGTACATCTCTTCTCCTAAATCATAGGCACAGAATAATTCATTTATCTCCACTCAAAATAACAAACATGAGAAACAAATACTTTTATTTAATGTTAAATAAAATTATAAAAAGCATACTAAACATAATGGAAAAAAATTTCTGTTACCACATTTAATATAACTCTTTTTATTTTTTTATTATATTTAATATTTAACTGATTATACATGTGACTAACATTTATGTTATTTTAGACACTTATTTTTATCATAATTGGAATACGTCGTATCTTTATTGATTGAAATCTATTTTATTTTTAAAAAGTACATAATTATTTTTTTAAAATAGGGTGATGTAAATGTAATGTAAAGAAAGCAAAAAATATTTTTTAACAAAGAAAATTAAAAAAATTATAAGAGAATCGTACTTTTTATTTTTTAAATAACAGATTTAATATATATAGTTAATAATGTAGTAATAAATAAAAGCAAAGTATATTGTACAAGATCATGTGATTCGTTCTTCAATTTCATGGAGATTTAATTATATTGTGTGTTTAAGAAATAGATGACAAAAAATAAGTTTTGATTAAAAAAATAATGAGAAACGATATATATTGAAATAAGTCATATTGCTATATATATGATATGATTAATAATTCTTTATATTATCCGCGCAACGTGCGGGCACGGATACTAGTTTAGACGTAATACATAAACATGACCTTAGTTGGCGTTAGCTGATAACTATGACTTTTAACTTTGGGTGTCTACAAGTAGACACTTAAACTTGTACAAAATTGAACAAATAGACATAGTCGTCCTAAATAGTACCCTACATGACAGTTTTGTGTCCTACTTGGCATCCTACGTGTAGTATGTCATGTAGGACACGTGTGCCTACTTATTCAATTTTATACATATTTAAGTGCTTAATTGTGTACGCTATAAGTTGGAGGACATAGTTGTCCGCTGAAGGCAAGTTAAGGGTCATGTTAATAAATTATGCCTAGTATTTATTCCTTCGACTTTGATGTGTATAAGTAGACACTTAAACTAATATAAAATTTAACAAGTGGAGACACATGTCTTATGTGACATAATACATATAGAATGTCACGTAGGACGCAAATTGGCTATGTCAGACGCTAGTTAGGATGCATGTGTTTACTTGTTCAATTTTATACAAGTTTAAGTGTCTACTTGTATATATCTAAAGGTAAAACATAAATACGAATTAAAGTCAAATTAAATAACACTTCTATCTATTTTGGCGATATGACATGAGTACTCAGGAAGTAACCATCAATTCAAAAAACAATGAAGGGAACAACACACTTCAATTCTAAAACTACAAGGAAATGAAAGAAGACTAAGATATTGAGTTCTCACAAAGAGAAGCTCTGCCATCTTCTTTTGTTGCTATTAGTTACGAGTTCAGATGAATCCACGTTTTTACTTAGACCCTTTATTTGTATTAGAAAATCGAACTCTGTAACTAAAACGAGCTACAAATCCGGAGGCAAATTCATAACTCATAAACTTCAAATTCTGGCTCCGCCTCTGGCAAGTGGATTAACTCATGAAGTGTCATTTGGAACTACATTTTTGGAGAGGAGGGAGTGCCTCCTCTAATGGAGAGAATCGAACTGCGAGAAGAACTTCTATTCATAGAATATGGATCAATAAACACAACTACAACTGTTATATCATCATGGAAATGCCTTCTTACTCCTCTATCGATCTTTTTTAGGTCCGAATATCGCATTTCTCTTTTCTTTGCTGCTATATGTAGAGCAGCTTTGATAAGTTCTCTAGCAATTCCCTGCTAAGAGTAAAGAGGAGTATAGGTTAACAATCTGATTCAGAAGCTGTGCATTCAGTAATGATCCTCGATGTAGAAATTTATGTTGCTCAGACTCTTCAAAAATGTTGTCAGGTGCGTGGTGGATCCTCCAAAAGTAGCGCAGTTTTGGAGGATCCAACACTAATTCAGCAGCATTTTGGATAGTCCGAGCAACATAGGTAAAAATAGAGATTATTGAAAGCTTACATTTCTAGGATGACTGTGAACAATGTCAACAGCCTCCTGGTTGCTAAGATGGTCCCATAGACCATCCGAAGCAAATATAACGAATTGATCCTTGGAACTGAGTTTGTGAACTGATATTGATGGCTCCGCGCTGAGGATTGGTTCTGAGAAGGGCTCTGGCAACCTAAATCTTGCCAATAATGGTGCCTGGTTGAACTCTGACTTCTTAAGATATGCATCACCAATGGACCTTGAAACCTATATCAACACGATATATTAGGAACATCACTATCAATCAAATGCCTTTGAAGATCAATTACATCAACAATTCTTAGATGTATTTTAATTCCATTTGGCTCGGGGCATTAGGTATCCTCTTGTTGCCAATATAAACATATGATCGACCTGACATTGCCTGCGTTCTTGATGAGAGTTGTCGATAAATTGATGCAGAAATACATTTATATGTTGCATACAGAATCATTGATCAGGCAGATGGAGAAAGAGTACTTCTAAGGTAAGGAATGAGAAACACGAAAATAAGAGCTTCTGTTATTAACAACAGACAACCAAAGAATTGAGACTATATTTATCAACACATACCTGTATAATACCTTTCACACGCCAAACGTTGTGTTTGAGTACCACAATCTGTGAATCCTGAGGATGCAATGACCTAAGCTCATCTCTCACGGATTCAATACTAGCATTATGCTCTGTTGACAATTGAATAGCTGCTACACTCTTTGCAGCTTTATCTACTCTGCCTAGTACTGCACGCGAATCTCCAACATTCGCGGTATATAGAAGTCCACTACATATTACGCCGGCCAAGCAACATGATCCTACTGTTGCAATTTGTGGCTTCTCTTGCCATTGTCTCTTTACAAGTGACAAAAACTCCTCTTCAGTTTTCAAGAAAGATTTTCTTATGGCATCAGCAGAAATTTCTTGATGCTCTGATGCAAATTCTGAAAATGAGAATAAGATTACAAAGATGAGCTCAGATTTCAAACACAAACAACTTTGGATAATAATACATTGAGAGGCGGATTCAAGATTTAGACATATAAGATAGGGGTAAGGTCTGCGTACACTCTACTCTTCCAGATAATCACTCATGGGGTTACATTGGATATGCTGTTGTTGGATTCGACATATAAGGTTCGTGACAAAATCAATGAAACATCATGCAATCGAATTAAAAACATTACACATACGTACTCTTGAGATTGGAGAACATAGCATTGTTTATAAACCGCGAAGTCTCAGGTCCTCCATGTCCATCATAGACACCAACAAATGTTCCCTGAGGACCTAATTTCACAGAACTCAATGGCCCTGATTCCAGCTGACTTTGATCTTCCATCAAATTATTCGCTTGTATAACTGCCATTGAAAATTCTCCATTTGCATGAACTCCTAAATCCTTATACCACATTAATCCTTTAAACCTACCATTTGGATCTCCACCTCTACGACTACCATCCCGTTTAACAGAAGGCCTCCAACACAACATAACCATGTTTTTTTTCACTTGCAATTAGTACTATCTATATATGAATACGCGATTTCTCCAAATAATAACTAGCAATTTGGAATATTTTCATTCAACAAGTTACAAAATTTCTCGAGGATTCATATAGCTGACTCCAACTCTGAATGATTGACAAGCACTACAAGGCCTATAGATCATGAATATGTAACAAAATTCCAAAGAAATGAAATAAACCAAATGTGTATGGGCAAAATTGAAGAAAAAGGTTTTATGTGAGTTCAAAGAATATAGTATATGGTCAATCTTTGTGGTCCTTATATGAATGTGTCAATTTTCAACAACAGCCTTAGCTGTAAAAACCCATAAAAAAGATGTGACAGAGTTTGTCTAATTTATTGGATCAAAAGAGGGAATGGGAAACAAAAAAAACAAATTTGGGATTTTGGAAGTTCTTTACCAAATGATCTTTTTTGGGTTTTGATGTTAAATGAGATCTCAAATTGTTTGCCACAATCTTTTTTATTTTTATTTTGTGGGTATATATAATACATGGTGAACCTCCGTAATTATCTCTATTTGAGTGTCTCTATGCTTCTTGGTTGTTATATTTTTGAACAATTTAAGTTATTGTTATAATGGTTGTGATTGCGGTTAGGGTTCTCTCTAGGTCTTTAATCATAAGGCTAAAATTATATTTTTAGTTTTTTTTTTTCATCAAGCTTTTTTCTATTGTCACTCCGATATTAACGATTTACGCGTATTTACGAAATTAAAGGATCTAAGAGAAATTGTATTAGCACGCGTATTGATATTTTACTTATAAATTATGTTAATAGTTGTCTTTAATTGAAAAAGAATTATAAGAAGAAAAAAAGTGTATCTAAGAAGAAGAAGAATTTTCAAATAAAAATACTATACGAGACTTTATTTATTAATTAGGAACAAAAAGATTTTAGCTTTAGGTCATCAATTTTATTGAATTGCTCTCGCTATTTTATTTTTTTACGTCCATACGTGAAAGCAAGATGGTTGGTGTCACAATGTCATTTTTGAAGAAAATGTTTCTCATAAGGAAGCCATTTTCCAATCAACTATCATAACTTTTAATTTTAAGTGTGTTATTATAAATATTTAATAGTACTGAACTTTTTTTGTTAAAACTTGTACCCGATTTGGTATTATTATTATTATTATTTAATATATGCAATATGTTTTTTGATAAATATTTTTTACTTACCAATCAAATATATGACAAATTATACTTCAATAAATATCTTTGATCACCAAATAATGTCCTTTATTACAAGAATATCACATAACATCAACCACAGTTTGCTTAAATATAGTATGACATTATCAACATATAAATGGTGCAAAAAAAGAAAAATTAAAATATATACATATAATAAGATCACGTTCAATTAATATTGATTAGCCTCATGGTACTCCAAATTAAGACGAACAAGATTTGTTATATATCTAAGTTAGCCAACTTTAATCGTACCACGTCCTCTCTCCATTTGTGTCTGGAGTTTCTCTTTAGCATGCCTTAGTGCATCAAGAACTTCTCTAACAGTAGCATCAAGAACAATTGGATCAATTGATTTTGGCTTTGGCAAATCTATAGGAACTAATGCCAAAGAGTTATTGACATTGTCTTCTTGAAAATCCCTTTCATCTTCTTCACTTAATTTCCCTTCCTCTTGGACTACTGATTTTGAGCTAGAACAATAGATAAAAATGTTAGATCAAATAAAAGAATCTAAGGGAAAATAAATAAATTTGCCTCTTTACTATTCGAAAAGGTTTAAATTTACCTTCTGTTATACTATTTGAACAAAAGGGCTATAGATGTTAAGTCTGAGGTCCAAAATATACCCCTTTCCACTGTGAGGCGAATTGACGTCCAACATGACAATGAAAAAGTGTACTCAATTATTTTTCCCTCTCATTTGGGTCAATTTTACTCCTTTACTCTTTGATTTGGAGTAATTTTACCCTTCTACTATTCAAGTAACATATTTTCATATTTAGAAAAATGGACGTTCGTTAGTAGACATATGTAAACCTTTTGAGCATATAAATCATTATTTCTTTTTTCAAGATTTTTTTATTTTTTTTTCAAAATTAGGGTAGGGAAAGAAGATTATAACGTGGAGAATCAAACCCTCGCCAATAAAATGGGAGTTCAAATAGCCAACCAACTGAACTACTAAGATTTCCCCATAAGATTTTCAACGTCGAGTTTAGACATTTTACATACTTTCACTGTCCCTAATTACTTGCCCACTTTTGAATTGACACACCTATTAAAGAAAATAATTATTGACATAGTGAGTTTTACCATTTTACCTCTATTAATTATGAAATGAATGAATTAAAAACTTAAGATTTTAAAAAGTTTTGAGCTTTTTTAAAGTAATTAATTGAGGGTACAATGGGTAAAATTTTCTTGTCCTTTCTTGATTTGTCAAAATGAATAAGTAATTAAGAACAACTTAAAAAAAAAAGTGGACAAGTAATTAGGATCAGTGAAAATACCTATTAGCATCTGAATTTGAGAATTCCAGCTCCTTAGAATTGTTGTCATCATCATCTTTGCTATTTTTGTCAAAGTTGATTGAGTTTTCTTGGGATATGAGCTCTTGAGAATCTTGAAAATCACTGATCATAGAGTCTTTAAATTGGGAGTTTTGTTCAGAGATTATTTTGCTGCTGTTACTAGTAGTTGTAGTAGATGTAACAGATGAATTTTCACTTTTATCAAACAAACTTGATTGCTCTGATTCATCTGAAATATAACATACGTTCATGGATTCAAGCTTTTTTATAAAATATTTGAGCTTTTTCTCAGCTTTGTTTCTTGATTTGCTCTCTTCTTTCAACTTTTTCTCCAGTTCAATCAGCTGTAAATTTCAAAATGAAAAAAAAAACAATTATGTTGCTCGGACTCTTAAAAAAGTACTTTACTAATATCATTATAGGCGGATAAAGATAAAGTAACAGTATATAAAAGAAATTGATTTATCATCTGTAACATGTATCTGTCCTGCAATTCCGAGAAGGAATGTTATATCGAAATATAAGAACATTACTGTCGACAGCTTAAAACAAAAGAGGAGTGAATAGGGCTTACCGATCATCAATACACCCTCTGTCAAAGCCTTAGACACCCCCACCCCACCCCCTTATTCTCTTTCTATTAAAAAAAAAACTAGTTATCCGTGAATGAGAACAGAACTCGTTTTGCTTGTTGGCTAGTTCGAAAGCAAGTTATATGAGGTGATGCACAATGTAGATATATCAGATCCTTCGAAAGCTATGCATTTTCAAAAAATCAGACATGAATGAGGCAATATTTTTAAAGAATCCGAACAATGTAACTTATAATCAAACAAATCTAATCATGAGAATACAGTAGAATTAGACAAAATGTCCACTCCTAGCATTTTTTCACTAAGAAAAAAAAGAGATGAATAAAATTTAAAAAAAAACCTTGTTTCCCATAAACTCTGCATCTTCTTTTGCTTTTTTTGAAGCAGCTCTTTCTGCAATTAATCTTCCTCTTAGACACTCCACTGTCCTCAAACCATCTTCTTTTTCCATTTTCTTCTCACTGAAAAAAGGAAAAAAAAGAAAGAAAACAGAATATGTAAGCAAATTTAGACAAACCACACTAAAAAACAGGGGTGGGTAGTTATCAGAGTCGAATTCAAGATTTAAACTTTAAGAGTTCAAAATACCACCTCATCTGAGTTGGTAGATTCAAAATCAATAATTTATACATATTAAATAAATTTATAACAAATAATTACATAATGTAATAAAGCTACTGAGCTCCGTTGAACCTGTTATTGATTTGCATTTTCTTCTATCTCTTCTATTTGGCTCTTACATCAAGAAAGTAAATTCTCTATAGTGTTGATTCCCTTTTAATAAGGGGACTCACACCTCAATTTTATTTATTTTTTAAAATTTTGTTTTTATTGTTAGGTACTTTAGGAGTGTAGATTTTGCAAAAATCTTTTATTTATATGAGGATAATAAAGTAGGTAGGAAGAATTTGAATTAATTTTAAATACACAACTGTAGAGTGTCGCCCCCACTCACTATAAATGACCTTTTCTGTTACTTCACTTCAAAGTTGCACCTGTCCCACTTTAACTTCTCATTAATACAATTTATATTAAGTAACATAACAATTTACATGATTCAAATGAATAAAAAAAATTGTAGAAATTTCTAACCATCTAATTTTTTTCCATGACTGGGCCGGTAAGTGCATATTGTTGTGTTAAAGTCGGGACAAAATATTCTTAATATGATATGATATGATACGGAAGTTTTCCTACTATAGCGTTGAAAGGTATTATTACATTTAATATATAACTTTTTTTCCTTTCTAGCGATTAATATAGGACGTTCACACATGTAACAATCTCCTCACCTCATATACAGGGGCAGAGCTTGTATAGAACTCGATCGATCTCAATAACTATTGTCAAAATTTTATACTTCTCATAAGAAATCTGTTGAATATGTATAAATTTTTAATTTAGAACCCAGTAATTCAAATAGATTAGAATTCTGAATTCATAAACTTTAAATTCTGACTTCGTCTCTGCCGATCGATTTATTTGAAAATGAACCGTGTGTAGTGTCCAGTTTAAGTTCTCACTAATGCGATATGTGAAGTTTCAAATTGTTTCATAATCTGTGGATGTAGTTGAAGAATTGTAGTATTTGTAAGTTAAACTCATGTTTAGACTTTATAAGTTAAAACTTTAAAAAATAATTAAAACTCGTCCTCTTTTTCAAACTTTAGATTCTATTTTTCAAATCTAAAGTTGAAATAATTGATCATTGTAATTAAAATATACTAGTAATAATTAATAAAAATATATTTGAAATTTTGAAATCAAAGAGGTTGTGGCTAGACTATAGTCACGTGATATTCGCAGCATTTGTCCGTAGTTCAACCGCCCAAACCGCACTGTTGTCTCTTCGCTTCACTCATTGCTCGTGTTGATTATTAAACAAATCTTAATATAACAAACATAAAAATTATATTTGTATGTTATAATTATAGTTTGCTTAATTGTGCTATATAACAAATTTTATATTTGCTATGGAGCTTTTAATTTGTATAATTCGCTAAAAATATCCACTTTTATACAAATTGTTCGATTTTGTATAAATTCATTTATACATTGTAATTTGTATAAAAAAAATATGTATTTGTATAATTATAAGTGTATAGGACGAAAATATATGTATTTATATTTGTATATACACTTTTCTCTCGATTTATACAAATACAACACATTTTATACCGAAATGTATAAAATGGCTAATTGTATACCGAAAATGACTAATTGTATACCGAATCAAATGGCAAAAAAATGGGATGTTTGCTGCGAATTACAATTAAAATAAACTATGGCTATAACATTTAATTTGAATTAATAGTTTGTTATTTCATATAATTTTCCCTTGATTATATCCTTTTATTTCCCCGAAATCGTATTAGGTGTTTATATCAAATTAATTTAATTTATTTTAATTGAATAATTCAATGAAGTATGTAAAATTATTAAATTATAATTACGTATTAGGGTACAAGATTAGTAGGTTGTGGAATATCATTTTATTTTTCAAGGATTTTAAGCTTGTTGGTATTTGTCTTTGTACTAGTTGTATTAACGTAATTCTTGCTTTTGATATTTATCACCATCTTTTGTTTATTATGTTCCGATTATCACACTATATGTTCTTCTTGCTTCCCTTAACTAATGGTTGCTATGTTTTTTGATTCTTTGTACTTGAATTTACTACGTTTGAATCGAAAATCTTTCGAAAATAACTTTTCTATCTTTATAAGAAAATGATAAAATCTGCATACACTATATCATATCTTTAGACCCAAATTGTAAATCTCCATTAAATATACTATTGTAATTAAGTACTAAAATTTTTCATGCAAATACATATAATAAATGTATATATTGATTTGATATAATTGAATGACATTTTTTTATTGATAAGAAAAGAACGCCACAATCTGTCCCTACCAACGTTGAAGTATTACTGCTGTACTAACTACTTTAAAATTATTTCTCAACTCTACATAAATACTTGCTCTCTCCCCCTCAAATTACGTGATATTTATTATTTCCTATGTCCCTAATTACTTGTCAACTTTTGAATTGACATACCTATTAATAAAATAATTAATGATATAGTCATGAGATTACCATTTTATCCCTATTAATTATGAAGTGGATGAATTAAAAATTTAAGATTTTCAAGAAGTTCTATCTTTTTTAAAGTAATTAATTGAGGATATAATAGGTAATTTTTTTTGTAATTTATTGATTTGTCAAAATGGACAAGTAATTAGAAACAACCAAAAAAGGAAAAATGGACAAGTAATTAGGGATAAAGGGAGTAAGTAATACTCACTCTGTCCCTTTTTATACTCCCTCAATTCCATATTAATTGAATTTTTGAGGTGTTTCACATCCTTTAAGAAAAGTAGATTAAGACATAAATTGAACATAGTTTTCCATTTTTACACTTATTAATTATTGTCAAATTTATTGAAGTCATCACATTGAAAATCCAAATGAAGGGTAAAATTGGAAGAACACTCTAAAAATAGTCTTGAAAATTGAACAATTTAGTAAATTTGAAAAATGGAAAATACCTCAAAAATTCAATTAATATGGAATGGAGGAAGTATGTCACATTTTTACTTTGCACTTGCATCAAGAAATGATGTAACTCTACCCTTCTACCCTTATTTAATTTTTTTGGAACTCAAGTTTTCAATCAATGAATATGAGTTGATTTATTTTGATTAATTAATTTAACCAATGAACATGAATCATTTACTTAGCTTTTCTAAGTTAGCCAAATGTATATTTTCAAGACTAATAACTCACAAGAGTAAAAAAGGAATAATGTGGTAATTTATGCATTGCTTTTATGAAATGACAAATATTATGAACCAACTATTTATAGAAATGGATGACATATAAAAAGGGACAGAGTAAGTAATATTTAGGAGGAAATGAGAAAAAAAATAAAATTTATGGTATACTAAAAATTATAAATATTAATGTAATTACTTTCATCCTATAGTGCAAACATGACCTTTACACTTTATTTTCAGCACTCTTATAATTGTATTCATCTTTATTACTATTATTTGTATTTGTATACATTGTTTTTTCATATTGATTTATAGATTTGATCAATTTTTAAGACAATTCAAACAAGCTCGTCGAATATTCCTATTGATATAGAGGTATAACGACACATGATGCTTCTCACTTCACTTGAACCTCACAATCTCTGTCAAAAATCCAAATAAGGAATTGATATATAACTATAACACGATTTCTATTAAATGTCCTGCCTCATGAAGTTCTTTTATCAAATGAGTCGTTTTATGGGTTCACTAGCAATTTGAGTGACATTGCTATTACACTCTACACTTGTCTCTATTGAAGGTGTCTCAAGCGCTTGACGTTGATTTAAATTTCGTGCTTGAATTTCATATTGAGTTATCGATGACAATCTTTATAAGTACAATGGTTATGATGAAAATGGACAAATTGAAAAGCAAAAAAGTAGGAACTGCGTGACAATTTAAGAAAACCTCCATAATAACCGTCACGGCCACATACAAGATTATTTCTTAATTAATCGAGGTTTTTAAAGTTAATATATGATCATTATGACCTCCCTAATATGATTTCAATGTTTCCAAATAAGTAATTTGCATGGGCTTAAAATTACAATGATATGATATCATCAATATTTACATAATCTAATGTGTGGATCGGCTTATGACCGCCGCCACAAATTGTTATTTTTTCTTAAAAAATAAATAAATCATAGATTTTTAATATACACCAAGCTTTTGTAATAATACATATAAATAACATATTTAATGTAAATGAATTTCATTAAACAAGTGCAAATAAAAAAAATATCACAAGTTCAAATTCATGTCAAATTAAAGTAATACAAACTCGTGTATTACTCCCCTAAAGTTGCACTTGAGAGTTGCAACTTTAAATCCTTAGAAATTTAAAATAGTTCCATGTACCAAATAAACATTAAAAAAAAGTGTACTATGTGTGTTTGTCTGATAACTTGAGTTATTGCCACCCCATCTTTTATTAAGATGAAGTAAGCTCAATCTTCATATCACTAATATTAAGCGGAATCAATAAAAACCTTAAATATGGTTAGATAAACATATATGATATATACATATTCTTATATATACATCTTGACCCAAAAAGAAATTTCTACTTTATAAAAAAAACAAGTTCATATGAACCTTTGCCTTTTACAAAGATTTATAAGATTATGGATACGAGAAAGTTGAACATTATATTGCGATTGAAAAATTATAAAAAGTGATAGACAGTTGTATTTTCTCCTATAAACATAAGACATCAATCATACAAACTTAACTTATCTGCTTTGAAAATTTCACCATATAAAATTTACTAAAGAAAAAGTTCATAAGGAAAAATCATACGCAAGAAATTCCTACTAGTAAAATATAACTATTGATCTAGCATCTAAATTTTCGATTGACGATATAAAATTGCATATATGATATTTGATGTGAATCTTATAATAACCTAAATTAAATTAATATTAATACACATATAGTAATCACTAGTATACCTATTCTAGACGATTTATATCCACTAAAAATTATGTTTAATTAAATATCATTACACAGATTAAAATGAATATCTAGCGTATATCTAAACACATATGCTCAGCCACAAAACAAAAGAATCAACGAAGTACGTTATCAAGAACGAGTGATTCCCATTGCTTTACCTCTATTAATATATTACACATTTTCCATGTTAATCCATTATATTTATTCGTTTTCAACTAATATTCAACGTTATTAGTAATTGGATTCGCAGTATATTTATATATATGTAATAATTTTTTAAATATAAAATATAAAATCTATTCATCAAAAAGCTTTAGAATTCGTTTGAATCTATAAGATAATCCATTGATGTGCTCTTAGAGACGCAATTAGAATAAATTCTATAAGTTCAATCTCTGATGTTTTATTAATTAATAGTCTATAGTTTTAAACTGAAAAAAGATTAAAATTGCCTTTTTTACTATCCAACAATGAACATTTTTTCCCTTCCGTTAAGAATTTGCACAAATTTAAATCCTCGTCGTAATAAAAGCGGAGGCATTTATATCCTTAATGGACTAATAATCCACAGTTAAATTCCTACTAAATCCAGATTAATCCTAACTATTCGCATTTAAACCAATTAAACTCCCAAATTCACATATAATGATAAACTTCAGCATATATTATATATATTTATTATAAAATATAATTTTTACTTTATATATACAATATAATTTTTCATCGAAATCCGTTACTACAAGATCTTTATAATCAAAGAGTGAGCCTAATTCGGACCTCAACATCCTGCTGCTCATGGTATTTTAAGTCCAGTAGGCTCTGCCTTAACCTATCCTCAGACACCCAGCCCTCACCAATCTGCTGACATTGCTAAATGTTTCGGCACGAAACAAGCTTTTCTGAATACGATAGATTCGAAAGTGGCTAAAGAAGGCTGAAACAAAAAACCTATGCTTACGCGCTTGCGATTCGTGTCGTGCTTTCCGTCTAAGTCCACAACTCATGATTGACTAAGACAAAACATGTATATCTATGCATTTGCCACGTGTTCTAAGTGGAAAAAAGAGTACTCCACTTGTAACAATAAATTTTGTACAGATATTTTTTTGGATTATTGATAAGCTGAAAAAGATAGCTACTACAATTTAATCCACTAATTTAATTTTCTGGCTGCAATTAATTAACTACGTGGCACCACCACTAATCTTAGCCAGAACATCCCACAACCGTTGGATCTCAGCAAAAACATCATCTGACGGTAACTGAAACCGACAACATGGACAAGTGTTTGTCTTCTTCAACCAAGGCAATATACATTTCCAATGGTAAAAATGATCACATGGTAATTTACAAACATCTCTCCCTAATTTCATGTCTTCTTTACATATCACACATTGATCATCTCCACCACCGTTAGATGACGGCAACGACACCACCACCGCCACGGATGCCGCTAACATCTTCTTGTCTTTACGTTCATCATCATTACCAGTGACGGAGTTAGAAATTCTAACAAGAAAATGAAAAAATATTAGGATTTTGAACATGTTGTGTTACTCAAAGATTCTTTTTAACTATGTCAAGGAGTACAACATTTTACGTGTGATAATGATATATATGTTAGTTGCTATTAATACTAGATTAATTAGCAATTACTAGTTTATTTTATAAACTTAATTGTATATGTATCTTTTAAATTGTTAAGATCATATAACCTAAAACCTTCGTATTTATAATATTTTTTTCTCAATCTTAATTTATATGACATATTTTTCTTCTCAGTCAACATTAAAAAGAATAACATATATTTACGTTCTGTAACAATTTAACTTTAAAATGTTAATTTCATCGATGATTTGTAACCACAGAAATATTGATCTATGAGTTGTTTTAGGCCAATTTTTTAATTTTTTTTTATGTTTAGTCAAACAACATCATATAAATTCAGACGATGAACGTATATATATATTGATGGGGGAGAGAATGTTTTTACCCATAGCTCCGCCCCTGGTCACCACCATCGCTAGCCATGACATTAACAAAATTCTTGCACTTAGCCACTAGCTCAATGAACTTAATTATCACTTCACTACAACAACTTTCAATACCGGATAGTTTCAACATGTCCTTAGCCATATAGTCACGAAGAATATTGCGCCAACACGATAGTGGGGCGTTGTGCAACGCCCCAGGCTCATGTTGGCGCAATTCACATAGTAGTAAGAGCATCAAAACCGCATCCACATCCCGAAGACTCATGGTAGTGATTGATGGTGATGGTAGTAGAATCGTGTTTTTCTCCACGAAGTAAGCTAAAATCGCGAATTTAGACAAGAGGTGGCGGGCGATGAGGAGGGATTTACGGCGGAGGGAGAGGGAGTTGAGGTGGTGGAGAGTGAGGGAGAAGAGGGTGGGAGAAGAGAGGAGAGAGAAAATACGGTGGCAGTTGTGGTGGTAGAGGGAGGAGAAGTGGTGGGTGAATTTTGTGAGTTGAAGAGGGGTTAAGGTAGAAAGAACTTCCATGACTATGGCTTCTAAGGATTTTTGATGTTCCATCATTTTTATGGGATCATGTGCATTATTGGTGGTAAAAGGAATTGAGTTTTTGGTGAAAGTGTGGGGTTTATATATAGGGTGTGTGTTTGACTAAATCATGCATGACAATTTAACTCTCTCTGTCCCAATTTATATGATATAATTTAACTCAATACGAAATTTAAGAAAGAATTAAATTTCTAATCTGAAATAAATCATAAATGTTTATGTAGCTATATTCATTAAGGATAACATAGATATTTTAGAATTAAAGAAAATATTTGGGACTTTTGATAGGTTTTCAAATATATTATTGAACATTTTTGATCTTTTAATGTATTTAAAAAGTGAACACTTTTAAGTTTTCATTAGATATAGATGCTAACAAATTTTATTTTCTTATTAAATTTAGGGAACAGCGCGTTGGAAAAAGATTTATTTACCAAAAATACTAAAAAAGTATTATCAAATCTTAAAAATAGCAACAAAACAAATTGCATTAGACCAAAAACAACCACTATAAGAAAAGTTGTATAACAAAATTATGGCCACATATGAAAGAGACACGAGAGGAGGAAAAGTAAGACAACTGTAGTTCAAGACTATATAATCGTACATTTGAGAATGAAATTAATCAAGTTGTATAAATTGAAATTGTGTAAAAAGATTAATCTATAGTTCTATAAATTTTCGACTAAATTTGAATCACGCACTGCAATGTCTATTTGAGGATGACCCTCCAAATAAATTTTCCATATCTAGAACTCAAATCTAAATTTTTTGATTAAGAATAAAGCATTTCTATCACAATTTCATATGTTAGTACAAAAATTACCTGTAATTATATGTGTGTGGGACAATATAATGTGTTAGTGGGACATATAGGGATGTGAGGTTGGTTGAGTAGAATGGAATGGAGTGGCTAGGAATATAATGTCCACAAGCTAGTGTCTTGTTTAAGCAACTTCAACAATATGGTCCTTTATATTATCACGAACAAATTACATATTTGATCGATCGATTAAAATAATTATATTCACTAATTAAATATAATATAAAAATATATTTTATGTATATTATACATTAATATAAAAAAATTACATATTTTCTGATTATTATTTTGATGAACGATTATTTTTGTATTATTTTTTATTTTTATTTTCATTATCTCTGTTAACAATAAGGTGTAAAAGAACAAGCAGAAGAGTATAAAATGTATTTCCCCACTCTTGGAATATAATGACAATATCATAGAGATGATAATAATTTGAGCGGAAATCATAGTCAAAATATAGCTTTAATTATTTGATAAAGAAATAAATTAATGTCATTGCTATATGAACTATTACTTTTAATGTCCATACAAACAAATTTATAATTTATTAGATGTACTATATGTTGTAATTCTACCCTCTTGAATTCTATACAGGAACACGTAATGACTACTTGTTCCTATTTGTTTGAAGCTTAACAATAAATAATTTCGTATAACAACTTGCTCAGCACTTTGTATTATTTATAAACCTTCAAATAACACAACGATTACAAAGTTATGTAACCTAAGGAATTATAAACTCTAATTCCTAACTACCCAAGACAAAACCCCCCAGGTTTTAGTCTTCTATCGTTCTTCAAGTAATTCAACTTGTCAAACGAAACTTACTCACAAACACTTGATTGTATTCAAAACTCTTGACTACAATCGTACAATTTTTCTCTCAACTCGCAGCACTCCCCAAAATAAAAATCAAAACTCTCTCAACTCTTGATCGTGTTTTGATATTACTCTCAATGTAAGTGCGCAATTTTTTTGAAGAAAATAACCCCTTATTTATAGATCAGAATTCCTGTAAGTCCCTATTCGACTCAACTTTGTCTTTGCCGCTACAAAGCCTTGTTGACCTCAACTTGGACTCCTATTTGTACTCGACCTCTTTCACAGAAACCTTACACATAGTAGTTTTCCTTATTGATTAAGAAAACTTCCTTAACCTTGAATTCCTACTGATATACGTTTTTGACAAAGCACTTTTGTATCACGTATGCACGACCTGTTCTATTCACTTTGTCATTCTTCAAAACTTAGAGGCTTTAACAAATTCCCCCTTTTTGACTATGGCAAATTCTTTCCGCTATCGAACAGGTAAACACCATATGCACGCTTTCCTCCCCCCTTTTGACATTAGGCAAAAAAATATGAAAATAAAGAGATATCCAAGCCACAAGCAGTAACATCACAAGAAGCTATAAAAACAAACACACCAAACTGAGTCATTAGGTACATCACAGATCAGAAACAAAAGCCATTATCCACAAAAATATAAATGTCTACTAAAGACTTGAAAAAGTGAGGACCCAAAACACAAGACATAGCACACTAAGAGGATATTTAGACAGATGGTGGTATAGCAGAGGACGAGGAAGATAAGTCTTTGGTTAGTAGTTCATAGAGGTGCTTCAGACGATCGGAATTAGATAATCTCTCAGTATTCAACGCAACCTGAGTCTGAGCAAGCTCCTCTTTAAGCCTTGAATTTTCTCAGCCAATCGATCATGCTTCAGACCATAATCAATGTGCAACTTATCTATTACAGCAGAGTGTGAAACCTGTAGTGCAGTAATTTCTTCATTCTTAGCAGTCAATGAGGCTCTCAATCGTTGCATATGTGCATTTGCCCCTCTCTTTGTACCAGGTATAGTTTCATGATTCACAACCCCTAATACATCCTTGATGGTCTGAATCTTCCACTCCCTAACAGGAACACAAAAATGTTCAAACACCATACCAAGCCAGAACCCATACGTCAGTCCACGTTCTTTTTTATCAAACACACATAGACCATGTATATGACTGAGAATCAGGGTAGGTAAGTTAATTTGGATCTTAGATAGCAGCAACTCCATAAGAGTAAGATCCAAATAATTTTCCTCCGTCCTTTTTTGCATGCGAGGTAGTACTATTTTATGCACAACATCAAACAACAAACGATGCAAGGGTAACATAACTCCTTTATCAACTCTGGTATACTCATTTAGTGTAGGATAATTTGAGAATCGGCGACATATTTCAAGAGCAGAGATGTTACCCTCCAGAGGTGGCCAATTTCGCTTAACGTAGTGACCCCATCCATTATTTGGTACCCCGAGTATAGAGGATAAAATCTCAGCATTGAGGGTGAACGAAACACCACAAACAGTACTTGAAATTGACGTATCAGACCCTGTCGCATTAAGGTAGAACTCCCTGGTTTCCTCTCTACCCATTCTACGCCTAAGGGTTCCTTGACTAAGTAGTTCAGTCCATCCTTGGGCTTGCACAAGAGCCAGTAATTCACTCATCTCGTTACCCCCAAATCCAGTAATTACCCTACCCCTAATCACAGTTCTTCTCCTAAAAGATTATATGCCCTAGCAGAGGCAATTTCAACAATTTCTTTGGGACCAGACTCTTTCGGTTTAGATGTATTTCTTTTTCGTTTTCTACTCTTCTTTGGTTCAATGTCATCATCATCAATCTCTATAGGATTATAAGGTAGAACAAACTTACTTTGCACCGGGCGAGTAATCTTAGTCGACTTAGCAAGAAGCATTGCGTCCCGAGTACGTTGTACAGATTGAGTCACTCGAACCGGAGCCTGCACTGATGGGTTAGAAATAAGACTTTCATGAGCATCTGGAAGAATCATAACAATGGGTCGACAAGAGTTTTGACGCAGTCGTGAATGAAGTCTTTTAGAAACTAGTTTGACCAACGGAATATCATCGTCATTGTCACAAGAAGAATGCGCTTGTTCCTTTGAGAATATTTGTTCCCCCTTACTACGTGCTATCGTTTCATCTCCTAAATCAGACCCCAAACTCGGGTTTCTTCTTTCCCCCTGAATTGATGCTTCTTCCATAAGAGGATATGCGAGATGGGTTATTCCGCAAGGGTCAATGAACATGACAATAGGTAATTCAACGAGGTTTTCTGGATTTTCAAAGGGAATAAGGGCAAGGTTTAAATTTGAGGGAGATGCCATGATTTTGAAAATAGGGTTTGATGAATTTAGGGAAGAGACAAATGAAGGAAAATGGGTTTCTGTGGAAAGTGAAAAATAAAAAAGGTTTGAGAATGATTACAGGGAAATGGAAGAGTTTTTTTGGAGAAGAGGAACATGTTGATTTGATGGAGAAGTCAGATTGATTTTTATTTTGGCGGTTTTTAAAAAAATCCTTCTGACAGGTATTTAATGCGGGAACGAGTACCAGTGCACAAGTCTTAATGTTTTGGTCTTACATAAATAAGTATAGTAGACATACCTTTTAGTGTAGGATAATGATTTTTGAAGTCCAAATCCTTGAGTTCCTAATTACCTGAGAATGATGAATTCGTTAGTTAAAATTCATTATGAGTGTTGACACCAATTTTTGTCCCACCTTTCTTCTAATTTATTTCGTTGAGCTTCTAAATTACTAATAAGTCGAATACATTCTAATTCACTATTATTTTCCATTTATCACTATTGCTATCGTAATTATCTATATTACTTTAACTTTTATTATTTTTATGATTATCATCTTTAGTATCATTTTCACTATTTCAAAATTATATTTCTTATCAATGTTACTATTAGTACTTTATTGTCGTCTTCTTTAAAATAGATTGTCGTTACTTTATTTCAAGATTTTTTACTTACTAAACTTTTTATATAATGTATATTATACTAGTTAGAAGCTCAAAGGAATTAATTTAGAGAAGAAAAGGCCCAAAGTATTTCTGTAATTCAGCCAATCCTTTTGCTATCCGAAACGCAGCCCAATAGGCCCATGCGTTTCAGCCAAAATCCCTAAATCTAATCCCCTAAAAAAAATCAGCCGCTCAGTCATTTTCTCACGCTATCCCATTCGAGACAGAACCTTCAAACTCTTTTGGGCAAAACCAGAGTTGATACGTCATTTTGGTGCAAGAGGGGTGCTTTTCCAGAACTGTCTCCATCTCTATCACTCAGCTCTGACCAATTCACGTGAAGCTTGACCAAAAGACAACGTTCAAATTTCAAAATACATATTTTTCAACTCGAAATCCCGCCCAAATGATCCC